ATTACCACTCTCACCCTCCAGAATGGTGGTTTATTTGTAATCTTACCTAATCCTTGATTATGGGAGGTCATAATTTTTCTAGCTTATTTGTATTAGAAAAGGAAACTTTTTGGAGTTTGCACACAGCTTGCAGAGTCTTAGTTCCCTAAGCAGGGATTGAGCCTGGGCCCTGACAGTGAAAGCGTCAGATCCTAACCACTGGACACGGGAAATTCTCTAGAAACTTAGTTTCCAGGATACTTCTGTGGTTGCTAGGAGGGGATTGTTAAATGCACTTGGAGTTTTTTTGAAAGCAGTTGAATATCATCACCAAATGGAGTCATAAAACAATACTTAAAATACACAATTTAGAGACTTCCTTCGTGGTCCAGTGGTTAAGAATCTGCCTTGCAATGCAGGGACACAGATTTGATAGCTAAATTGGGGAACCAAGATCCCACATTGCCACAGAGCAACTGAGCCCATGTGCCTAAACTGCTGAATCCAGGGCCCACAACTAGAGTCCCCGCACCACAATCAAAGGTCTTGTATGATGCAACTAATACCCGAGGCAGCCAAACATAATATTTTAAAAACACAGAATTTCACTGGTTAATGTCAGTATACAGTGATTTTATGTTTACATTTGGTGATGATACTCAACTTTCAAAGTCAACGAGTGGCTCTTTTCACCCCTGTGATAACTGGTAAAGATGCTCATCACATTTACCTCAGTTGCTGCAGCAGTCTTCTAATTTGGAAATCTTGACCTTTAAATTTCTTTTTTTAATTGCCATCAGTGAAATGTTTTTCAATTGAAAAAAAATTTTAAACTAAAATTGATTTCTTGTTGCCTAAATCTTAGGATGAACTACAGGAATTTTCTATGAGCTGCGTTTTTGTTTTTTTTTTAAATCGTTTGCCTTATCCTACTCCTTGTTCATTTATCTGTCCTAAAATCTTATACCTTAGCGAAAAATCAGAAAATTTCCTCTTGTCCTTATTCTTTCAGGCTGGCAACTCCTGCTTATGTGTCATGCTTTGCTAGAGTAAAATGTTTAGTAATTAGCATTATGTGTTGTGTAGGACATAACATACTGTGGACAGACCATTACATACTTGGTAGAATGTTAACATTGTATCCTGCCACATTACTTAAGGTAATTACAATAATTGGAGTTCTCCTAATCACCTAAAATTGAGGTTTGTGTCAGAAGACTAATGGGGTTTGTAACTGGGCAGTTCACAAGATTAAGTACCTAGCTTTCTAGCCTTTGTTCAAACTAGCCCTCAACCTCCATTTATTCACTGGAAAAGTATTCCTAGCATTGGGTTTAAAGTTGAATCAAAATTTCTTGCTCTTGAGAATACAGTACCTAGTGTGATGATTAACAATAATGTACTATTAATGATTCTGGGAAAATAGATAATAAAACCAAAGGTGACAAGTTTTCCCATTAACCTGCAAGTCGCGGGATGGGGACAGATCATCAACCTGCCTGGTACTGATGCCTGTGTGAGTAAAAGTAAGAGCTGGGTAGCATCTGACAGGCTGGAAAAGGAGATTCTAAAATGTGCCTGCTAAAACAGGGGCTTTGTCCTCTCCAGTAGTGAGCACAAGGCACCCACAGTAAAGACTGGAGCCCTTGACCTCGGTGAGCTCTTAAAGTAGACCTGTCAAGACAAGACTCCCTTTTATGGACAGGACCCCACAGTGAGGAAAGGACTGAAAGGAATCTTAATGGGCAGAGTAGAGACAGGAGATGAAAAGGGCCTAGATTCAACTGGGAGAGGGGAACACAGCCAGGAAGATCTTAGAAAGCATGCCACCATATTTTCAAACACCACTAAATGACAGAAAAGATAGAAAAGATTTACTGAATCCTGCATCATTCTCAAAGTTCAGGACAGTAATTTCACTTAAAGGTAATAGAAAAATGATGTCACATCGCATAAAAGATTAGCAAGGTGTGGTATGTATGACTGTTTTGGTACACATAAAGTGGAGGAAGGATCTCTGAAGAGTTAGAGGAAAGTTGTCAGCAAGGCATTCATGGAAGGTGTAGCATTTGACCTGGGCCCATCTTGCACTTGGATCAGTTGAGTTCTATTAATAGTGCAGCCTGAAGGAGGTGTTAGTACTACTGGTTTTCCTTCTCCTTCTTTCAAGGGATATTTTGCCTTTTGGCCCTATTGTGTGCTGTTTGATACCTGATTGAAAAGAGGAAGTTACAAGATCATGATTTATTTGTGAAGGCAAAAGGGAAGAATAAGGAAGCTGAGAAAATTTAATGTAGGGTCGCTGATCCATTTGTTTTCTGTTAGATTTGTCCAGCAGCCCTCTCCTGCTCCCTTCATCCTTATCTAGCTTATACTACTGGGCCTATGACTTTAAGGACTATTGTTCTGCCAGTTTCTTAGTGTCAAATCATTCTTCGTGTCTGTTTTCTCTTAAGCATATAGAATTATTTTACTCAACAAACTCTTAATTGAATGCTCATCAAATATACCAGGTATTCCTCTAAAATGCTGGAGATGCAGCATGGGTCAACACAGAGTTCTTGTTGTGGAGTTTAGTTTGGCAGTAGGTGTACTCAGTACATGGTCTGAGTACTGTAAAGAAAAATAAATCATGGAAAGTGAATGGAGACATGCTATTTGTATGGTGTTCAGAGAAACCTCCTCAGGTCTCCACTAGAATGTAAGTTCCAGGAGGGTAAGGATCTTAGCTACCTTGCTAATTGCATTCTCTGTGGTCAGAATGATGCCTTGCACATAGTAGACATCCAGTGTTAGCTGAATGAATACATGTTGTGGACACAGAGAAATTTGTTGAAAAATTCTCCCACTTAAAAATTGTGTTGGTCAGCAGGAGATGATCTTAAATTATTATGTCACTCCAATGCATTTCATGCTGAAATATGAAAAGCAGGAGCTGTAGTTTCTTATGAAGCCCAGTAAACTTAAGATCAGAACTGAAAAATGAGATATCAACTGCCAGGACTTGGTCATCGCTTAACCATCGTCGGCTAGGCCAAGTCAGCCGATGAGATATCAAATATCTCATATTTGATAGCCTAGATAACCTGGAGCATTTCATGAATGCTGCAGATTTCTCGATGACAGTGTTTAAGCACCTGCTAGTCCCTTAAACAGGTCTTCCCTGGTGGTTCAGACGGTAAAGCGTCTGCCTTCAATGCGGGAGACCTGGGTTCGATCCCTGGGTCGGAAAGATCCCCTGGAGAAGGAAATGGCAACCCACACCAGTACTGGAATTGCCTGGAAAATCCCACGGATGGAGAAACCTGGTAGGGCACAGTCCATGGGATCGCAAAGAGTCGAACATGACTGAGCAACTTCACTGGTTCACTAGTCCCATAAACAACAGATGTTCGCTGAATGGACGAATGACTAAACAATAGATCGCGACACTCCACGACAGGCGTACTTGGGAGAGGGGTCTGTATGTAGAGGACGACACACTTTCTCTGCGATGATCTGTACGGGGCACTAACTCGGGATCGTGAGCCTGGCCCAGAGGCCGTAAGATTCCATAACGCCAGGCTTCCTACGCAGGTATTGGACAGCGCCGGGGAAACCTCGAGGCACGTTCTGAGCATGCGTCGCCATTTTGTGCGATTTGCCACGCCCACCCGTTGACTCTAAGCTTCCATTGGCTGCCCCGCTGAAGGCCCGCCTTCTTGAAGGAAATGGACATTCTGTGGGTCTAAATAACCTTCCGTAACCAATCACAAGCAGCGATCTAAAGGTTTGTCCAATGACATCGGGCTTGGGTCAAGGCCCGCGGAGTTTAATTTTCGTCCTGGGACGCGGAAGTAGCGGTCAGATCTAAGCCGCAGGCTGAGTGTCGCACTGGAGGAAGGCCGAGTCTTCATCCCGGTTACCCCGGCTGGGTGAGGGGCTTCAGGGACAATTCCTGGGCCAGTGGAGGTGTCGTTTCCGCCCGTGGCAGGCAAGTCGGGGCGCGAGGGCGGGCACGTGTGGACCTCTAAGCGCTCCTGGATCAGGACGAGAGCGCGCCTGGCCTCGTCCCCTGCGGATTCCGCCGCGAGGTTCCTTAAAGACTGCAGCTTAAAGTTCCCGCGGTTGCCGGGAGGCTGGGCTTCGGAGGAACGTGAGCCGGGCGACCGTGCTCCCCGAGTGGGAGAGACCCCGAGGCGGCTTGGGGCCAAAGGGAGTGACGTAAGCCGGAGCTAGTCTCGGTCTGTCACTTAGTAGTTGGGTGACCAAGTCACGTCACCTGTCTGGGCTTCATACTCCTTATCTTTCGGATGAGCGAGGAGGGATGGGTGGTGCTCCGATAGTCAGGAGGGAAGTGTTATCATTCCTTTTGTTTGGTCAAAGTCTCTAGTCGGCCTCCTGCCTACAAGGAAGGGCTGATCTCATCCCTGCGTAGTCTCAGCCGAGGGAGGCGAAGCTTTCGGCTCTCGCTGTTGCAACTAAATTGAAGGCTTCCTGCTAAGTTTCCAGCCTATCCTTGATTGATATTTATTAACTAGGTGGCGCGGTGGTAAAGAATCCGCCTGCTGATACAGGAGATGTGAGTTCGATCCCTGGGCTGGGAAGATCCCCTAAAGGAGCCTATGGCAACCCACTCCAGTATTCTTACCTGGAAAATTCCATGGACGGAGGAGCCTGGTGGGCTACAGTCCACGGGATCTCAAAGAGTTGGACACGACTGAGCAGCTGAGCGCTGCGTCCCTTAAGAGGTTCAAAAAATCCCATGAATTTTTAATGCAACTTAACTGATAAATTGAAGTTTCTTTTGCTTTTGTTTTTTAACCCAGCCCTTCCCCATTCCCCCATTCCTTTTTCTCTCCTCACCTCAAAATAATGCTGGCCAGAAAGATTAGTTTTGTTGATGGTGTAATGTGTAACGAAGGCTTTTTTGTTTGTGTGTGCAGCAGTTATTTATCAAGAGTAATGTTTTCTTATTTTTTTCCCCTTAAGGTATCAAGAAACAATGTTTCTTTGAATTTGCTTCTGTATTTGCCTCATCAATGTCATTCATTTTGAGTATCTTACGAGAGATGCTGGAATATTTTGGTGTTCCCATAAACCAGGTAAATGGTTTTTAATGGATTTGAATGAACCTGTTGTATTTGGAGTCTTATTTTGGAAACGATTTTTATGTCAACATTCAAGGCAAAATTGTTATTTCTGTATAAGGTGTAACAAAGGCAAGTTTGCAGTAGTGTAGCTTTGATAATTTGAGTTAAAAAAAGGATATGATTATTAGGAACCTATTTACTTGAAGGGTCAAAAGCTGATGAAAGATCGAAACCAAGCAAAAGATAGACATGACGAAGTGAAAGACAGACATGACCCTGGTAGATAAAATATTTTAAAAATTCTAGTGGTTTTATTTAAGGTAATTTGAACCTGAAACTAATGCAACATTGTCAGTCAGTCAGTCAGTCAGTCAGTTCAGTCACTCAGTCGTGTCCGACTCTTTTCGACCCCATGAACTGCAGCACGCCAGGCCTCCCTGTCCATCACCAACTCCCGGAATCCACCCAGACCCATGTCCATTGAGTCAGTGATGCCATCCAACCATCTCATCCTCTGTTGTCCCCTTCTCCTCCTGCCTTCAACCTTTCCCAGCATCAGGGCTTTTCAAATGAGTCAGCTCTTTGCATCAGGTGGCCAAAGTACTGGAGTTTCAGCCTCAACATCAGTCCTTAATAAAAAGTTGAAAAAAAAGTGTTTGACATTCGTTATAGAATGATGAGTTATATAGTTCAGCAAATTCAGGAGAAAGGTTGACTTAGGTGTGAGAATCATAAATCAGATTTTGTCTACTTACTTAGAAACTATGACATCTAAGATCTAAGACAATATGCATGGTTCTGTAGGTGATGCAGAGTAGCAACGCATCTTTCTTGTATTCATTATTCTTAAAATATAGTGTGAGATATGAGAAATATATACATATAGCTATAAGAGTACATATAAGGCAAAATAATAAAGGGGCATACAGAAAATGGGCAAATTGTTGCTATTTGGTGTGGTGAATTAGAGTAGTCAAGGATAAATAAAGGATTTTGAACAAAAGTAAGTTGAAGAACAAAGGAGCCATTAATAAAAATGGACAGTTCAGTATGAGGAACTACTTTCTCCTAGGGAGATAAGGTAAATCTGTTGGAGTATATAAATACAAATATCTTGCAGATAATTAGATTGGTTCTGGGTGTAGGAAAGAAAAGAGATTGAGATTTGGAGTTATCTGTGTACTTTTGTTATTTGATGATAGAGGATGTCCATAACAAAGCATTTTGAATTTCAGAATTGGGAAGGTTAAAAATAACAAAGACCAAGTGATAGCTGAAGACTTGCTTATCAGTAGTTGCTGATAGTTGATTATCAGATTACTGATGGCTTTAGGGATTTCTGTAGGTGGAGAGTGGCGGGTGAGCTGTAGTAGTTTGAAGAATAATCCAGGAAGGAAAGTGGCTTCAGCAATCTTCAGTTTTAGAGGTAACTTCATGTTTGTAAGCATTTTATCCTTAATCATAGAAAAAAATTAAGATGCAAGTGAGAGAACGATTGAGCAATGCCCTGGAGAAAGTAGTTGGTCAGGGAATAGAAGTAAATAAGGCCTTGGAAAGAAGATGGATGCTCAAAAGTAGAATAAAAGTCTCAAAATAATGCCATTTGCAGCAACATGGATGCAATTCGAGATTATCATACTAAGTGAAGTAAGTCAGAAAGAGAAAGACATATCATGTGATCTCACTTATAAGTGGAATCTAAAATATGGTACAAATGAGCCTATCTACAAAACAGACTCACAGATATGAAGAACAGACTTGTGTTTGCCAAGGGATCGGGGGAGGGAAGGAAGAACTGGGAGTTTGGGATGAACAAATGTAAAGTATCATATATAGGTTGGATAAACATGATCACACTGTTTAGTGGCACAGGGAACTATATTCAGTATCCTGTGATAAGCCATAATGGAAAAGAATATAAAAAAGGAATGTCTGTGTGTAACTGAGTCACTTTGTTGCACAGTAGAGGTTGACACAACACTGTGGATCAACTATACTTTAATTAAAAAAAACTAATAAAATTTCAAACAGCACCACCAAAAAAGAGTAGAATAAAAGTGAGAGATGGTGGAGAGATTTTATATGGAGAGAAATGAAAGGTGAAGTATGTTAAATCAGTCACTGGTTTTCTGAAGAGCAGAGGCAAGACCACTTGCAGATAATGGAAATGGTAGCCTTGGCAATTTCAGAGATGGGCAATTGCTCTGGGTGACACAATAGTGAACAAAACATGTTATGAAGAGGTTGCAGAATACCCAGCGGAAGTTGTCTTTCTAAATGTTGTTATTTTTTAATTTTTTTTTTCTCTAGCTAAGAGTAGTTTATCTACTCTTAGATGAATGGGGTGGTTCATCCATTAGTAACACAGGAACAGTATCAAAAGAATGAACCATTTTGGGGTAGTAATGAACATATCATGACTATGAACAAAGCTAGTGGAGGTGATGGAATTCCAGTTGAGCTATTTCAAATCCTGAAAGATGATGCTGTGAAAGTGCTGTACTCAATATGCCAGCAAATTTGGAAAACTCAGCAGTGGCCACAGGACTGGAAAAGGTCAGTGTTCATTCCAATCCCAAAGAAAGGCAATACCAAAGAATGTTCAAACTACCACACAATTGCACTCATCTCACACGCTAGTAAAGTAATGCTCAAAATTCTCCAAGCCACGCTTCAGTAATACATGAACCGTGAACTTCCAGATGTTCAAGCTGGTTTTAGAAAAGGCAGAGGAACCAGAGATCAAATTGCCAACACCCACTGGATCATTGAAAAAGCAAGAGAGTTCCAGAAAAACATCTATTTCTGCTTTATTGACTATGCCAAAGCCTTTGACTGTGTGGATCCAATAAACTGGAAAATTCCGAAAGAGATGGGAATACCAGACCACCTGACCTGCCTCTTGAGAAACCTGTATGCAGGTCAGGAAGCAACAGTTAGAACTGGACATGGAACAACAGACTGCTTCCAAATAGGAAAAGGAGTAGGTCAAGCCTGTATATTGTCACCTGCTTATTTAACTTATATGCAGAGTACATCATGAGAAATGCTGGGCTGGAGGAAGCACAAGCCAGAATCAAGATTGCCGGGAGAAATATCAATAACCTCAAATATGCAGATGACACCATCGCTATGGCAGAAAGTGAAGAAGAACTAAAGAGCCTCTTGATGAAAGTGAAAGAGGAGAGTGAAAAAGTTGGCGTAAAGCTCAACATTCAGAAAACTAAGATCATGGCATCTGATCCCATCACTTCATGGCAAATAGATGGGGAAACAGTGGCAACAGTGTCAGACTTAATTTTTCTGGGCTCCAAAATCACCGCAGATGGTGATTGCAACCATGAAATTAAAAGACACTTACTCCTTGGAAGGAAAGTTATGAGCAACCTAGACAGCATATTAAAAAGCAGAGACATTACTTTGTCAACAAAGGTCCATCTAGTCAAGGCTATGGTTTTTCCAGTGGTCATGAATGGATGTGAGAGTTGGACTATAAAGAAAGCTGAGCGCAGAAGAATTGATGCTTTTGAACTGTGGTGTTGGAGAAGACTCTTGAGAGTCCCTTGGACTGCAAGGAGATCAGTTCTGAGTGTTCATTGTAAGGACTGATGTTGAAGTTGAAACTCCAGTACTTTGGCCACCTGATGCGAAGAGCTGACTCATTTGAAAAGTGCCTGATGCTGGCAAAGATTGAGGGCAGGAGGAAAAGGAGATGAAAGAGGATGAGATGGTTGGATGGCATCACCGACACAATGGACGTGATTTTGGGTGGACTCCAGGAGTTGGTGATGGACAGGGAGGCCTGGTGTGCTGTGGTTCACGGGGTTGCAGAGTCGGACATGACTGAGCAACTGCACTGATCTGAACTGAACATATCATGGAAACAACTTGATGCTCCCTACTTAGTAGGACAGTCGGTGAAGTTAGTTGGAGGGTACCAGAGCAGGAATATAAGAGGGAGGTGAAATCATAAGAGTGGTGAAGATGGTTAGTGGCAATGAAGGAATGAGAGAGAAGGACAGAAGTTTGGCAGGATGGGAATTGCAGAGCAAGACATTTGCATTAACCAAGAGTTATGTGACTGTATGTGACAGTAGTGGCCCTCACTGTAGTGAAGTGTCTAGGCCTGTGGTTCTTAGCAAGGGTGCACCTGTGAGTGATCTTCAGAACCACAGAGATAATAATGTTAATTAAGTCGGGCATCTGTACCGTAGGCTGTGCTGATCAGTGTGGTTGTCACTTTTAAATACTTGAAATGTCTAAGTTGAGATCTGTTACAGGTATAAAATATACAATGGATTTTGAAGATTTAGTCTGAAAAAAATAATGTATTATAAAATAATGTCATTGTTTTTAAAAAATATTGATTTCGCATTGACATAATATGCACATATGAATTAAATACATTAAGTAAATTAATTTCACGTGTCTCTTTATAGTCTTCAAATGTAGCTACTAGAAAGTTGTATGAGCTGTTTGTATGTTTTGGATATTATCCAGTTGTTGGTTGCAAATGTTTTGTAGGTTATCTTTTTGTTTTGTTTATGGTTTTCATGTGGTGCAAAAGCTTCTGAGTTTGATTAGATCCTGTTTGTTTGGTTTTGCTTTTATTTCTTTTGCCTTAGGAGAACAATCTGAGAAAATATTGCTAGAATTTACGTCCGAGAATATTTTGCCTATGTTCTGTTCTACGAGTTTATGGTATCATATCTTATGTTTAGGTCTTTAAAACATTTTGAGTTGATTGTTATGCGTGGTGTAAGGGAGTGTTCTAATTTCACTGATTTGCATGTAGCTGTGCATCTTTCCAACACAACTTGCTGAAGAGACTGTCTTTTCTCCATTGTATATGCTTGCCTCTCATATCATAGGTTAATTGATCGTGCATGGGTGGGTTTATTTCTGGGCTCTCTGTTCTGTTCTATTGATCTACATGTCTGTTTTTGTGCCAATACCACAGTAAGTAAAGCATCCTTAAGTTGTCTAGGACATGATTTATTTATTCACCTCTTTAAAGGAAATTACATTAATATACTCTGTATTACTTCATTGCTTGAGAAATTGACATTGTCAATTTTTAAAAATTAATAAAGTTCCCCAGGATATTTGGTCATTCTCAGAAATAAAAGGAAATGAATTTGTGGTGCTTTCCCAGAAGATCTTCCTGGAATGTGCTATGTTAACTTCCCCCCTCTGAACTCCCCTGTACCCTTGCTTTTTAAAAAGTACATGTGACTAGTTTGAGTCTCTGAAGAAAATAATTTAAAAGCATGCTATTCTATATTTAAAAAAAAATGCTATTCTATCTTTAACATTTGTTCTTATCATAAACAGTATAAACATGCTCAATAGAGTAGTACTTTTTAAATAATGATTTATGTTTAAATAGGTTTTACACATTTGGGAAAACAAAGACTATGGATCAGCTCGGAGTATTGTTCGTATCATTGGGAAATTTCTTCCTTTAGAACCTTGTCCCAGGCCTAATTTCGAGGTAAGTCAGTCAACGTGTATTATTTAAGTACCATGTATAAAAATTTCTATAGGAAAATAGGGACATAGACTGGAACAGAAGAAGAAATGTTTCCTGCAAACCATAAACCTGTAGCTTGTCTTGGAAACAAGTGATTTCACCTGTGTTTTTGTCTTTATTACTTTAAATAATTATATCCCAAGATTGGCAGATGTGAAGAAACCCAAGTCGTTTCTCTGATTCTTTTAGTCTATGTTTTAGGTTGGAGGACATTCCTTGGGGAGAGAATGGTGCCACACGCTCAGACTTTAGAACTGGGTTTTCCTGAGTCCTTTTTCTTGCTAACAGGTGTATGGTTTTCTCTTGCATATCCTTTTTCCTTTGCACACTTGTGAAATTTTCACACTTGTGGATTTTTAACTTATGTAAGTGGTTTCCACAGGCGTGTGTCTCGCCCTGACTGCCCGCAGAGCTCTGACTGTCTTTTCCCTTTTTCCCTTTAGCTGGTTCCGCTCTTGAACTCTGTGGACCCGGCTAACTGTGGATCTGTAGTTCCGTCTCTTGCTGATGTTTGGTGTGTGGCAAATGATGAGGAAGCCAGTTATCTCAGATTTCGGTAATTTTTCTACATATCTTGCAAAAGTGGGGTGTGGGCTACAATCTGAATTCTTGCCCGTGTTGAAGTGTGTTCAGACTAAGTGAGCCTTTTCATTTATTTTGTCTATCTCTGTAGTACGCTGAGTCCTACTAATGTCTTCATGATAAGCATGACTGGTGTTTTTTCTCATTTTTGGCTTGTTTTTCTTAATGCACGTTTAAACCTAACCCAGGCCTACGAAGGAATGATATTAAAAGGATTTGAAGATCACCACATTCATTTTTAGGAGAAAACTCTTTCCTGTATACTAAATACTGGATTTTTTTTTTTTTAATTATTTATTTCTGTTTACTCCAGGTCTTTGTTGCTTTATGTGGGCTTTCTCTAGTTATAGTGCAGCGGCTTCTAATTGTGGTAGCCTCTTGTTGCAGAGCGTGGGCTTGGTGAATTGCATCTTGTGGGCCCTAGAGCACAGGCTTCGTAGTTGTGGTGCACAATCTTATTTGCCCCTCGGCAAGGGGAATCTTCCTGACCAGGGATCGAACTCGTGTTCCCTGCATTGGCAGGTGAATTCTTAACCACTGGATCACCAGGGAAGTCCAATACCAGATCTATTTTGTTTTATATATTTAGCCAAAATTTATATAATGTTTACTATGTACCAGGCGATGATGTTAAATATATTTCATCATTTGAATGTTTTACTGCTTGGGAATACTAGTGTATTCGGACACAGGCTGTAAGTACAATAAAGGTCAGTTATTCAAAATTTCTGCTTAAATTTATTCTATGTAAAGCTGGTTTATAAATTTTCAAAAAATTAGAGCACTTACCCAATTTAACATGGAATCCTTTCATGCCTTATATTCCAAATATGCAGAATTTCTAAATAAATTAACTTTATTTCTAAATAAATCCATTTGTATTGTTTGATGTTAATAGGACAGTTATAGGATAATTATTTTTGGTTTACAGTTTGAAAGCAAGATGTGTCCCTTCATTCACTGATCACTTTTGGTCACCTGCTAAGGGCAACATTCTGTTCTGGGTATTGAGAATACAAAGCTGTGTAAGATACTGTTTGTCCTCAGTGAGTCTACAGACAGTTACAAAGTAAAGAGAGCTATTCTGATTTTGTTGTGGTGTCTCTGTTCTTTGACTGAAAGAAATTATTTCTCTTAGAGAATTTTCCTTCCCCCGTCTCTCTCTTTCCATTTTTAACTTCATTCTACCCATAGAAATAGCACATGGAAAAATGAAGAAGAGGAGAAAATTGCATCTTTTCATCCTCTGCAACTAGTTGAAGGTCCATCGACACCTGCTCTAAGGCATAACAAACCAAGAGAAGATGACGGGCCTGAGAGTGAAACTGCAATGAAAACAATAGCTGCCCTTGAAGATGAGCTCGCTCTTCTTCGCTCTCAGATTGCTGCAATTGTGGGACGGCAAGAACTGGGGAGCAGCACAGAGGCCGGTAAGGAGCGCTGGGCTTCTGTTTTGGGCGGATGCTATTCCTCTAGTGTTTAAGTCGGTGTGGTTCTAAGTGAGAAAAGAATGCTTGCTGCTAATGTATCTTCTGAATGATACGGAATATGAAGGGATGTTGCATGTGTGTGTGTGTGTGTGTGTGTGTATGTATATATATATACATAACACCACTGATGTTTATTAAGAATAAATTAAGATGCATTTGTAGTGACCGGAATGGCTTTGGTTTAAAGAAGAGCTAGCTATGCTGCCAAAGATGGTAGTTTTATATTTAAAAGCCGATTTTCTAAGTGCAGTTGTCCCTCAGCATTTTGGTTCTAGGACCCCTGTGGCCACCAAAATCCAAGGATGCTTACGTCCCTTGTATAAGATGGCATGGCATATTTGTATATAACCTGTCACAGCCTCCATCTTCCTCTATACTTTAAATCATCTCTCATTACTTATAATATCTAATAAAATGCAAAGCATTGTAAATATAATGGAATTGCTATGTAAATGGTTGTTAGTGCGTGGCAGGTCAAGTTTGGCTTTTTGAAACCATTCTGGATTTTTTTTTTTTTTTTAATATTTTCAATCAGCAGTTTTTTGAATCTACAGATGTAGAGGATATGGGTGAGGATATGGATGGACAACCATAAGCTTTTCTAAGTCTTTAGAAAAGTGTTGGAAATTTAAGCAGAGGGATGCATTAATTTGAGAGAAGAGTATAGGTTTGAGTTTCATATATTTGTCGTTTGAAGTTATTGCTGCTATACTTCTGTCAAATCTAGGTGAATACTGTTTTCTAGATGATTCTTTCTAAAAGTTTTAGAGATGTGACTTGCTTTAAATAAAATATACACACACACACTGTATCTGTATGTATGTAGAAATGTCTATATAAACACACATATGATTTGTTTATAACCCATATTTATATAGTATTATAGATTTATAATTTATATGAAATACTAGATAGTATATGTTACCATAGAATAAAAAATGAGATTATGTATACACTTTAAAAAGTAGTCATGTTACATATGGTTTTAGGAGCAAATCTGTTGTGAAAAATTTAAGTATTTGGTACCCATCTTAGGCTTTTGCCTAGAAAATATGTGCCTGGGTGTTTACAGTATCATCATAGAGTGAATATATCAGTTCGTGTGTTTCTAGCCACAAGCTGTTGATTGTGTTTTAGTTTTTGTAAACTGAGGATGAAATTTAGATTGTAACTGAAAACATTTTTTACTTTCTCTTCGAAATGCATTCTCTTCCTTCCCCCTACACAAAGAATCCTAGTTAGTTTAAAAAGAAATCTACTATTTGCTTGACTGTCCCAAAAATTGCTAAGCAGATGGGGTTGATTCTCCTTCTTGGCCACCGTGTCATTATTTTGATAGCATTACAGAAATTGTTCCTATTTTGATTCTAATTAGTGTTACCTGTTATGTCAGAGACAGTTTTGCATCATTTTTCAACAGACTAAATTTTCTCTAGGTTTCTTGGACTTGAATGACAGGCCTAGTGGTTTTGGACAAAAGCCATCATCAGGGGCTACTCAACTCAATGTCAAAGAAGACTCGTTTTCAAGTTCAGTGCTTCCTTCTTCTCTTCCTCCACCACCGCCTCCTCAGATATCTTCTGTACAGCCTCCATGTTCTTCTCTCACAAAAATAGCATCTAATAATATTTGTGCATCAGATAATTCAACAACTGAAGTGAAAAATCTGCAACCAGATGCTAGGAAGAACAATTATAGTCATCATTCAAAACACCAGAAAAATGAAGATATTCCAAACATGTTGGATGTTCTAAAGGATATGAATAAGGTTAAACTACGTGCTATTGAAAGGTGTGTTGTCATAGTTTGCAAAATGAACCAAAATTTTATCAGTGGTGTTTAAAGAAATTATTTTATCAAAGTAAACATATATAAGTCTTCTCTTTGATTCTTCTTCACCCTAAATATTGCTCCCAGAGAGAATCATTTTCAAATTTTTGTGACTCTTCTAGTGTCTTATCTTCATATTTTTGAAACAACATTGTACTTTTGCTATTTTTTGGTATTTTAGTTATATTTACTGGAATTGTTAAAAATCTGAAATACATTCTCTTAGACATTCTACCTCCTAACACTCATGCACACATACACTTCTTCTTACATCTTCCCAATATGGTTGAGTCACAGTCTTAAATCCATGTTCAGAATTTATATCCTTATTATAATAGTAAACATTCACAGGAAAGCTGTTTCATATACTACAATTACATTTCATTTGTTAACTAATTTTATTTTTTATGGCAGTTAACTCTTGCCTCTCTGAATTCCCCCCAGACCCCTGGGAATGCCCTCTTGGAGCCCTCTGTCCTTCTCTGATCTTACTTGTGGCTCTAAGCCTGCTGCACTGTTATCCTCAGGATTTCCTTTGTCATCATGGGCATCCTGTTTGTCCAGTGTTGCATCACCTGTTTCCTGGGTGTTCCATCTTCTGTAGCTTCCTGAGGAATGCATAAAAGCTAAATTATTTTAAGATCTTGTGTATCTGAAACTTTTTTTTAATTCTCACACTTGCTAGTTTGGCTGGATATATAATTGGCAGAAAATCATTTTTCCTCAGAATTTTGAAGACATTATCCCATTGGTTTCTAGCTCTCAGTGTTCCTGTTACAAGGTTAATGTCATTTTAATTCCTGATACTATGTATGAAACCTGTTTCCCTTATTCTTGAAGCATTTGAGATCTTCTCTTTGATCCTAATGTTCTCAAAATTCATGACATTGAGCCCTGGAGTGTTCTTTTAAAATTTCTCATGCTGAGCACTTATGGACTTAATCAGTTGTCCTTTATTTTTGAAAATTTCTTAAAATATTTTTCTGATACTTCTCCTATTTTTTTCCCTTTTCTTGAAACTCCTATTAGAAGGTTTGAATGCCAGAATTATTTGTCTTATCTTCATATCTTTCCTCTACTGATTTCTTTCTCTTTGCTTTTTTATTATACTTTTAAAGAAAATCCTTTTCAATTCTTCTATGTGCTTTTCCTGTTGTCATTTTTTGAGGGGGAAGGCCACACTCAAATCTATATCCCTCAATGGTCCCCACTGCCACCTTTCACTTTAAGCCACCATTTTATATAATTTGGGCTTTGGCAGTGACCTCTTAACTGGTCACTCCCTTTTCATTCTTGCCTCCTTGTCCGTTCTCCATATATGAATAATAACCAGAGTGATCTTTAAAAATTGAAGTCAGATCATGCCATTCCCCTGCTGAAAATCCTTTGGTGGTTTTCACTGTGCTTAGAATGACATCTTGACACCTTGCTGTGGCCTGGATTCAGCCCTTGTGTCTCTGACATCCCATCCTACTTCCCTTCTTTCTTCACTGCACTCCAGTTGTACCTGTTTTCCCTTCCTAACAGATGCCAGCCTCCTTTCTGATGCATCATTGGTTGTTTACAGTAAAACTGACTGCTTGTCATTTCTTTAACAGGCAAATCCTTTAAGAGACTTATCCTCATCATCTCATCGAAAGTGCTTTATCCTAGCCACTATCACATTTCCCTCTTTTATTTATTTATTTTAAAAAATACTTATTTGGCTGCGCTGTCTTAGTTGCAGCATGCGAAATCTTAGTTGTAGCAATGGGATCTAGTTCCCTGACTGGGGCTCAAACCTGGGGCCCCTACATTGGGAGTGGGGAGTCTTAGCTACTGGACCACCAGGGAAGTCCCTCCCTCTTTTATTTTATTAACAGCACTAATTGCTGCCCCAGATGTTCTTGTTTACTTGTTCACTGATGAACTCCTGCCCCTAGAGTGTTCCGTGGGAGCAGGATTACCTCTCTACCCTCAAAGTGTAAAAATGGAGCCTGGCAAAATTCAGTCTCAGCATTGAGACTGAATGAGTGAACAAACAGCCTGTTTTTCTTTTCATGAACTCCGTAGTCCTTTTAAAAGTTATTAAATATTTCTTTAAACTTTTCTACCCGCTGGAGAATTAGAAAATAAAAAACCAAAGATGATATTTGATAAATCCCAGGTTCTAGCAGATGGTGGTAGAGCCCCATATGGTTTCTCAGCTTTCTGATTCCTAATCCATACATTTGTTATCCTAAGGCAAAATATTCTAATCTATTGAAGACTGATTAGATTGTAGTACATTATGCTTATATTTCTGCTGTATAATGCTTATATTTTTGCTATGCTTGTCAAGGCTTATGTGCGCAGTTGCTTCAGTTGTGTCCAACTCCTTGTGACCCCACGGACTGGGACCTGCTAGCTTCCTCTCTCCAAAAGATTCTCCAGAATTCAATCGGAGTGGGTTGCCATGCCCTCCTCAGGGAATCTTCCTGACCCAGGGATCGAACCTGTCTCTTACATCTGCACAGGCAGGCGGGTTCTTTACCATGAGTGCCACCTGGGAAGCTCTTCAGTAAGGAACTTAATACACAAAGTTTCAAATTATTCCATTTTTTTAGGTCTCCTGGAGGCAGACCCATTCATAAAAGGAAAAGAGAAGACTCACCTTGGGATCCAGTGTCTCTAATATCCCATGCACTTAAGCAGAAATTTGCATTCCAAGAAGATTCCTTTGAGAAAGAAGATAATTGTTGGGAGTCTTCTCCATTTTCTAGTCCAGAAACTTCAAGGGTGCGCTTATAATGTAAGGTTAAATTTTCAGTTTTTCTCATGCATATTGTTCATGATGTATCTTTACCTTCAAATTCTTTTGAAGTAATTATGTGGACTGGGCCTTAAAATTGTTTGTTGATATGGTATGCTGTTGATGTTCTGATTGCTTGTACTGACTTTCACTTACATGCTCATTTTAGCTTTTAGCATCCTATGATGTTTTTTGAGATAAAACATTTGATTTGGAAAATACTTATGCATAAGTTTATAATGGTTTATCCTGGACATGTGCTAACTTGACATTGCTGTCTGTCACTGTCACTGCCCAGTATGAACTGGGCGTCTGTAACTTTAAGAGGACCAGAAAGGAATGATGTAATAGATTCAACCTAACCATATTTAAATGTGAATACTCCCAGTATTTTTCCTGGTCACATGTAAAGACTGGATTATTTAGATAAATAGAATATTTATAATTGTGCTTAACAAAGCAAGTGAGATCATAATTATCTTCAATGACCATGCTCCCTGGACACTGAAAAAAATTCACAATATATTTCAACTCTTAACCCTGAAGATTGCTCCTTACTTGAAGCCTCTTTGCTTTACTTCAGATATAACCTTAATTTGGGGGGTGGTTTCCCATCTCATCGTTTCGTTGAGGAAGTAAACAGGATTAAGCCATGGGAACAGGGGGGGAGTGAAAGAGGGACAGAGTCTAACGCCCAGTGGGTGTCACTGGCGTGGCAGAGGAGGAGGGGCGGAAGCTGAAAAGCAGATGAACGCTCAGCGCAGCAGAGCAGGCGAGAGCTCCTCTGTCAGTTCCGGCAGAACCGAGGTCTCACTTTCCGTGTCCTCAGCCCTGAGTGCTGTGCCTGACACATAGCCCGCTCTCAAACAACTACTTACTATTGAATGAGTTGAGCTTCACAGGGTCATTTGGTGCTGTTCTGTTTTTTACATCAGAATAATGTATTAAACATTTGCTTTATTTCAGTTTTGACCCTGTCTTTCAAGTCAGAAGTATGTTGAACTAAAGGAAGAACCTACAAACCCAGCAGGTGTAGACCAAGCCATGAGCAACAGGGGCTGTGTCTACACCTCGAAGGCAGGACTGCAGAAGTATATCTACACGCCTGTGAAAGGATCGCGTCTCCTGTTAATGAATTTAAATGTAGTCCATACACTGGGGTATGTTAGTGCAAAGGTCTGAAGGATGCTGACCTGTGTCTGGTTTTTATAAGATCCAGCAGTTAACAGGCTACTGATGATAGTCGGGTGTATGGACACTTTTTCATATTTTCCCACATATGTTAAGTTTATTAAAGCTGAATAAATACTTTGAATGATTTTCCTAAGAGCTAAATAGTAAACGATTTAATGTTTCTCATTTGAGAATGGTAAGACCTCATTATAAGGTAACAGAAACCATTTAGTGGATTAAGAAAGTAACGTAAACTAAGTCTGTATTGTACTACACAGTCGATGATGGTACATTTGGGTTTTTAAAAAAGATTTCTTAAATCAGTTATGACTTGCTTATTTAAGCATCTCTGACTCTTCTAAAGATTGGTAGTGGTGTGGTCTACTTGGCCTCCAGCAACTTGGAGATTTTCAAAGAATATAAACTTATAATTTTTTCACTAAGAGAGTCATACTTTGAATCATAGACTGAGCCCCCTGAGACCCTTGAGGTGATAAAGGATTATTCTTAAAGCTGATTTTGACTGTTAAACGCTCAATTGCAGAAGTATTTAAAGAATCTTCCTGATAAGTTTTGCCTACACTTGCTATGTAAATATGTACACCTGTCATTTTTTTCCCTTTGTTCTCTATTGTGCTCTGTTCCTTTGTAAGTAAATACACCTTTTTGAACTTGCTTGTGTTTTATAGCGCTTCAAATTCATGTTTTCTTCTCACTACATTTAGGAAGTCTAAACTTTTGGGGGGAAAGAGAATTGTGTAGTTAGTTTCTTGGTCAGTATGATGAAACACTTAAGTTTGGAGTAGGTGTTTTTCCCCTCTGCCGTTACACTAATGTGTGTGGGAATTTCCATTTTTCCCTAGAAACGGATCTTAGGTTCCATTTGGATGGACGCAGCACCCACCCATTTTGGAAGCTCTCTCCTTTTAAAAAAGCCCGGTTTGCTTACCGTTTTCATGGTATGGTGGTCGAGAGTCAGTTGCCTGGTTATCTCCATTTCTGACCCCTTTCACCTGGCACCTTCCAGTTAGGCCTGGCTATGCTGCATTCATCTTACGGCCATGAGGAATAGGCTTTGAGTCATAGAAATGTGAACCCTGACATCACCGAGCTGTTGAACTAACACCAGCAAAAGCCATCTCCAGACTTCTTATTACATGAGGAAGATGAAAAAGTATGCTGAGTGGGTTTTCTGTTAATTGCAGCCAAAAGCATTCATAGTGATATAGCAAGTACGCCCGTGTGGCTTTCGGACCCGCTTGTTATTCCCTCTGAGTGGTCTTCTGACACTTCTCAGCAGTTTGTTCTTGCTGTTGTTCCCGCCCCTCGTAGACATTGTCCCCATTCTGCCTCTTCTCATCTTGTACTTGGAATTAGAGTCCCTCTTTCTCTGAAATAACTACATTTTATCCCATAGGGCAGTCTTGCATTGCAGGAACATTTTGAAGATACTGTTTTCTGCCAAGTGAGGTCTATTTCCTAAGAAACCTCAAGTTGGTTTTGGGGGAAGGGGGAGCTTTTCTTTTCTCCTTCAGAATGAATGTCCTGCTTGCCCAAAGCCCATGTCCGCACTAGGATGCATCAGAATTGAATTGACCTTGGGCTCACCTCTATTTGCTTCCCTGGTGATTCAGACTTGCCTGCAATATGGGAGATCCAGGTTTGACCCCTGAATCTGGAAGATCCCTTGGAGAAAGTGAAGTTGCTCAGTCGTGTCCGACTCTTTGTGACCCCATGGACTGTAGCCTACCAGGTTCCACCATCCATGGGATTTTCCAGGCAAGAATACTGGAGTGGGTTGCCATTTCCTTCTCCAGGAGCTCTTCCCGACCCAGGGATTGAACCCAGGTCTCCCGCATTGTAGGCAAATGCTTTACAGTCTGAGCCACCGGGGAAGTGTGGCACACTCCAGTATTCTTTCCTGGAGAATTCCATGGACAGAGGAGCGGTGGGTTATACCATGGGGTCGCAAAGGGTTGCACCAAGTGACTAACTCCTCTATTTAGAAGGCTGACTTCCAATGTCCTGGAGAACACAAGTTCATGCCCTGAAACTCCCCTTTGGGAGGCCTTTTGAGTGGCCTACACTTGGGCTCCTTGTGACTTAATGTCGACTGTAGAGTCTGTGAGGGTTTAGGCTTTCATCATGAATCTATATGTAAATTAATACCTAAGTGTTGTTTATAACATATTTTAAACTTGTCTAAACATATTGTCAATGTGGAAACTTTATCTTCCTGCAAGATATATAAACAAAAACTTATTTTCCTGACTCTACGACATGAATCCTCCCACTAGGTCTTAAAGAGTCCCTCCTCTCCCCTTTTCCTCATATGCCTTAAGCGAAGTTGTATTCTCTTTCTTGATTGGCTGGTAGTTAATCCATATAGAAGAATTAAGGCATTTGACAAGGCATTCTAATACTATTTTATATTTGGCAAAAAATATTGGTTTTATAATATAGATTGCAGGGAGTTAATGCTGATCAAAATCTTGACTGGTTGGACAGGCAGATGATAGTAGAGATTGTCAAGGCAGGGAGGGGAGATGGGAGGATCCTAGGAGGATCCTACTCCTAGGAGGATACCTCAGCAACTGGAGGAGGCACTGGATTTGCAAATAGTGGCATGGGACTGTCATGGGTAGGGGTTACCAAAAGCCCTTGCTTTTACAATGAGAATGCAATTGTGCTTTGATTATGAAATTTATATAAAAATTGGGTTGGGAGACAAGGCAGTCATGCAAGTTTGAGATTTTTATATCAAAAGAGGGCTACTGGGGGACTTCCCTGGTGGTCCAGTGGTTAAGAATCTGGCTTGCAGTGCAGGAGACGTGGTTTGATCCTTGGTCAGGGAACTAAGATCCCACATGCTGAGGGGCAACTAAACCCACACACTGCAGCTGCTGGGCCTGACAGCTCTAGACCTCGTGTGACAACTAGAGTCCCTGCGCTGCAACGAAAGATCCTGCATGATGCAACAAAGATCTCCTGTGCTGCGGCTAAGACCTAATGCAGTCAAATAAATGAAAAAAAGAGGGCTATTGGGACTTCCCTGGTGGTCCAGTGGTTAAAAATTTGCTCTTTCATTGCAGGAGGCTCCAGTTCAAGGCCTGGTCCGGGGACTAAGATAACACAGGCTGCATGGTGAAGCCAAAACATACAAAAAATAAATTCATAATAATAATAAATCAAACACAAAACCAAAAAAGGGCTATTGCAAGTTGGGTCATCTGGGAGGCAGACTGTGAGGGATTAATGTGAGGATATCTATCTGACTGTTCTCAGGAACATACTCCCACTAGGGAAGGAAGCAGGATTGGGTGAGGCAGAAGCTGGGCTGAAATGTAGCCTCAGCAAGGGCCTCAGAGCACTCCAGAGGGAGCTCTGAAGCTGGAGTAGCCGTATGGGGCAGTCTCCCTACGTGGTGCTTGTGGTCAGTGCAGGAGACACAGGAGACGTGGGTTCGATCCCTGGGTTGTGTTGGGAAGATCCCCTGGAGGAGGGCATGGCTACCCGTTCCAGGATTCTTGCCTGGAGAATCCCATGGACAGAGGAGCCTGGTCAGACATGACTGAAGCGACTTAGCACACGTGCTTGTAGTCTGCCATTGCTCTGAGGGTGCCAGGTCTTTACGTCTTAACATTAACCTTACACTGATGAGTGCGGCATGACCTTGAGCAAAGCATCCTTCTTCAACCAAGGCCATTCCCACAGAGGTTTGTCATAGTGGTGCATCACAGTCCATTAGCAGACTAGTCATCCACAGAAGATACGGGCTCCAAAAATGTTGCAGGGTCCAGCCTGCCTTCCACTG